CTCAGTGGTAGAGCCCCTGCCTAGAATCCCCCAGTGAGGGGCTGGGGTGTGGCTCAGTGGTACAGCCCCTGCCTAGAATCCCCCAGTGAGGGGCTGGGGTGTGCCTCAGTGGTAGAGCCCCTGCCTAGAATCCCCCAGTGAGGATGGGATGTGGCTCAGTCATAGAGATCAGCCTAGCATATGCAAGCCCCTAGTTCCATCTCCAATACCACACTTCACACAGACAGACAGGGAGAGGGAGAGGGAGAGGGAGAGGGAGAAGGTGAGGGTGAGGGGGAGGGAGAGGGAGGGGGAGAGGGAGAGGGAGAGAGAGAGAGAGAGAGAGAGAGAGAGAGAGAGAGAGAGAGAGAGAACTCCCAAACAGTCCTGCTGACCTCACACTTGCTCTTCCCAGGATTATAAGCAAACCTTATCCTTCACTCTTCCTAAGGTGCTGACAGAAACCACATGGCCCTGCCGTCACTCTCCCCATAGTGCAGCAAGTGACTGTCATCTTTATCTCACCGACAGGACACAGAGCCCTCTCCTCATGGCACAGACCTTAAATTCCAGCCCCTGGGAAACTAGGAAGAGCTGCCTTCCAGCCCAGTGTGTTCCACCTCCACCTCCGCCTGCCTTCCAAACAGGCAGCCCATATTTTGATAAGCTAGAAAATCAGGAAATCACCGCACAAAAAAAGCAATGTTTATGGAAAACAGAGCCCAAATACGACAAAGGGCATTCCCATGGGGGCACTGCGAATGCCTCAGTGATTCACTAGAAGCAGGTAAGCTGCCAGCTGTAGCCTCAGTCTCTGCTCCCAGGGCAGCTTGTCCCAGGCATCTGCCATCCATCAGAAAGAAGCTTCTGACCGCCCCCAGCAGCAGCCTCCATTGTCAAACAAGAATGGAGCTAAGCTCAGCCGTGTGACAAATGCCTTTAATCCTAGCACTCAGGAGGCAGAAGCAGGCTGATCTCTGTCAGTTCAAGGCCAGCCTGGTCTATGTAGCAAGTTCCAGGCTAAGTCATCATTGGGTCGCTGCTGTGTTACCTGGGTGCCTGTTACAAGGACATCCTTGGATCCCCAACTGAGCCAGGCTTGCTCTTCCCTTTACATCTCCCTGGGCCTAAGCAGAGGCTCTATAGGATGCTGTAATGCCGAGTAAGAAGCATAGACAAAGACTGAGGCTGTAGCTCAGTGGCAGAGTGCTTGCCTAGCATGGGTAAGATCCTAGGTTCAATTCCCCAGGACTGCCAAAAAAGAAAGAGCGGGGAGGAGAAGCTGCAGCAGAATGGGCATTCCCCTGACAACTAATCTAGCATAATCCTCAGAGCCCTTGCCCTGGCCAGAAGGCACAAGGCACCTTCATCACCCCGGAGAAGACTGGCAGCCAGGAAAGTCATTCCTTGGGCTGGGCCTGCTTGGCCAGTAACATGACCCCTACGGCCCGGGAAGTGGGTCACTCAGCCTGACCAATGAAGAATGGACTCTTTATTGAAAAGGTTTTCATAACCACCAAGGGAGAGAGAGAGGCTGTGAGCTGTGGAACTTCCTCTGGCCTGGCCTCGTGTGAGCACAGTGCTGAATGGGGTGGATGAGAAAAATCTACATAGTACACTCACAGCAGCCAGCAGCCAGCAGCCACCACTATACAGGCTTGTCAAAGCTCTACCGCACCCAGGTGACACAACATAAGGACCTAATGACAGACAGACCCATGGACACAGGGCACCAGCAGCAGCCCCTCTGATGGTCTCATTAGGCCTGCTCTGTGCAAAAGAATGTCCAAAATGTTGCTGGAGGACTGAGATCTCAGCTCAGCGAGTAAGAATGTTTGTTATGCAAACATGGAGACCGTAAGTTCAAATCCTCTGCACCATATAAGATGCTAGGTGCGGCTTTGTGTCTATAACCCCATCATTGAGAGTGTCACACAGACCACTGGGGCTTTCTGGCCACTAGCCTAGCTCCAGGCTCAGTGCAAGACTCTGCCTTAAGGGAATAAGGAGGAGAATAATTTAGGCGGGACACCTAAAGTCCTCCTATGGCTTCTGTGTTCACACATGGTTACACACACCTACACATGCACCACACACACATTACACAAGCAAATGCAAAACAATGTAATGTTCCACATACCAATATCAAAGTCCTGGGTGCAAGTGCACATATGTGTGTGCGTGTGTACACACCCACACATGCATGCACCCAACTCCAGCCCATACCACCTCTTCCCTCGAAAATCCTGTTGACCTCACAGAAAGATCATACACACACATCACGAGGCAAGGAAGGATCTTGCTTTGTAGCCTAAGCTGATCACAAACTCTCCATCTTCTTGCCTCGGCCTCCTGGCTGCTGAGAGGGTTTTCCACCTCGCCTTGGCTACAGGAAGTCTCTGAAAACAACTTGCTTCATAAGCCTGAAAAGCCAGAGTTGGATTCCCAGAACCCACTGTGGAAAGAGGGAACTCACTCCACAAAGCTGTCCCCTGACCTGAGTGCACCATAACATTGTGTATCTCTTTCTTTCTCTCTCTGTCTCTCTCTCTCTCTCTCTGTCTCTCTCTCTCTCTCTGTCTCTCTCTCTCTCACACACACACACACACACACACTACACACTACTTTTTAAAAAAACAAGGGGTCAGTGAGATGTCTTAGTGGGTAGAAGCACTTGCCGCTAAACCGGATGGGCTGATGATGGTCCCGGGACCCACATGGTAGAAGGGTACTGACCCCCAGTTTGACTTCTAACCTCCACATCATACACATAAAATGAATCTAAAACATTTCTTGAAAAAAGTTAACTAAAAAGTAATCTTTGGGTAATTGAAAAAAATAAATTCTGGCAAAATAACTAATTTATTTCCACTAGTTGAATAATAAAGCAAAGAACACCAAACCACCAACCCTGTCCTTGAGGCCAAGAGTGAGCCGAGCTGCCCTGCTACTAAAGTCCACAAGAAGTGTGCCACCCAAGGCACTGCCAATCTGCTGCATCTCCTCCTGCAGCCACTTGGCACCAGGATCCTTGGACACGGCAATGTCATGAGGGTCTGTGAAGGATCCTCTGAGTCTTTCTATCCAGCCACCCTAAGATTCCTCACACGTCTGAAAGAGACTCTGGAAGGTCAACAACCCAGAACTCACGGGTCTCTGGGACTAAGGGCTGGATTTGGCCTAACACACTGTAGAAGGCAGCAGGAGCCACTGAAATGGGCCACCAAGTGTCTCACAGTTAATGCACATGTCCAGCAAGGTTAGCCAGACCTCTGAGGATGACAATGACTCTTCACAACCCCACTGGTTCCCACCTTCCCCCACATTCTGCTCCCTCTGCCTGTCACCCTGTATCCATCCTTCCTCACCCAGATCCATCACCCGTCCTCACCTGCTGTGGTGGTATCTACATCCCTTGCTGCCAGCTCTTCCACATCAGACTTCTTCCTTAGCTCAAACCTCCGGGACAAGCCTTCTCGGGGCTTCCATAACTCCTGGATCAAGAGGGGCTTCTCATTGTCCCCAAACACTCGGAAGCACTGGGCCTGCCACCGCTGCCCAGAGTCCCCAGCCTGGCCCACAACATCACAGAGCACATACTGTCCGGCACACTCAGGGTCCAGGGCATAACGCTCCAACGCCTCTTTCACCAGCTCCTGAGCGCTGGAGGCGCCAGTGGCCAGAACACTCTTATAATGGGTGCCTGTACAGACACTGTCCCCAAACACCTTCAGGACTCCGGGGGCTGAGAGCTGCGTGGAGAGCTCCGAGGGGTCATCACTGGCACCTAGGCTGCCGAAGGTGGAATCCAGGTCACGATACTTGTAACTCAGTGTCCGGGACAGCATGGTGGATAGTAGCTGGCTCTGTCGCTTCAGCTTATTCTTGGTGGGAGGAGACATGATCAACTGAGTCCCATAAAACATGGTGGGTGCGTCTTCATGAATAAGCACTGACGCTTTCGACCAGTGGCTGGGGGAAGGCTGGAGCCTAAGAGGACAAAGAGATACAGGTTATGGCCAAGTATCAGGGACATCAAAAGCAACAGAGACACGAGTCTGTCCCAGCAGAGGAAACAGTCCTGGGCCACCCTGCCATCCATACCACCTGGAGCCAGACCCCAGCAAAGGTGCTGCTGACAGGTCAGAGCCTGTGAGGTGCAAGGGACAAAGCAGGCCTGATAGACCAAATGCTTCCAGGGAAAACCGCTGGCAGGAAGCAGGAGGAAGTCCTCGTAAGCTGTGACTGCCTTAGGGCTGCATCATTTCTGAGAAGTGCTGGGCACAGGAGCACGTGGGCAGAGGACAATGCACACAGTATCTGTAGGCTGGTTCTCTGTCCTGGGGGATACACCCACCCTCCAGCCATGTCAAAGCCAGAAAAACAGCAACAAACAAAAAACAAGCCATATTCAACTTGGGAACAGAGCCCTGACCCTGTGTGAATTCAATTTTGTCTACGGCAGTCTATTATACGAAAGACAAAGCTCGTCCCAAACACAAGCGTATATGGGGAAATGGCCACAGCCAAAAAAACCAGTAATAATAATAAAAGTCACAGGCCTGGGACTGGGGAGATGGTTCAGTGGGTAAGGACACTTCCTGTGCAAGCATAAGGACAGAAACCATAAGGACAGAAACTCAGATCTCCAGCACCCATGGGAAAATCTGGGCACGGCTATGCATGCACCTACAACTCAGCAATGTGAGGGGTAGAGACAGGAGGATTGCTAGGGCTTGCTGACTGCCAACCTAGCTCCAGGCTCAGCTAGAGACCCTGTCTCCAAAGAATATGACTGGGACACCTAATGTTCTTCCCTGGCTTCCGTATGGGCAGAGGTGCACGTGCACACATGCACACAGGCACACACGCATACACATTAGAAACACAGACCCCAAGAAAATGCTGCTCCCCATGACTTGGCAATAGGAAACTGGTCTTGACTGGAAGAGATCCCTGGTGGAGGAAGTTGGTCTCAACTGAAGAGCTATTTTCCTATGACCGAAGCTGGGCTCGTCCACTAGGCCATGAGGAAAACACAAAGAGAGCCTCCAAGGACGATGGAAGCATCCTTGGAATGTGCACGTTCTACCCACCACATTCAGCCACACAGCCACCCAAGCACCTCCAGAGACCGGCTGGCTCCCGAGGAACTCCCAGGGAGCAGGAAGAGACTGTGTGTTGCAGAATTGTAATCCTAAAGCCTGTGATGTCCTGTGAGATTTAGAGGTGGAATTACACATCTCCTTCACAGCAGTCTGCAGGGGCTGCAGAGTCCAGAGAAGGAAATGGGGACTTTCAGCTCTGCCACCAGACAGGATGAAACAGAAAAGCTGCATGCACTCATCTCCTGATGACCACACCCGACTCCTGCACCACAGACAAAGGCAGATAGATTGGTCAGCCAAGAGGAGTGTTTTCTAGAAGGATCCAGATAAGTGTGTCTAACCTGCAACCCTGGGGCCATATGCAATCAAGGATGGCTATGATGTATGCCCAACACAAAACTCTAAACTTATTTGAAACATGCGGTGTTTTGGTGGTTTGGTTGTTTTGCACAGTGCTTTAAGTGTCTGCTTTATAGATGACATCACGTTGCAATGTCAAAAGGTTGAACACACTTGCTAGTGACTCAGGACCCAGAGAAAGCACCACAGAGACCTGCCACATTGAGTCCAGCTAAGTCACTAACCTCCACTTAAGTCCCCAGCCTCCACTCAACCACATCGTTAAGGGTTGGAGAAGTGGCCACCTAAAGCAGAAACACCCAAGGAACTCTGCAAAAGATTCTCAGGAGCTAACAGGACGGCCCGTGGGTAAAGACACTGGCCGCGGCCTGCTGGCCTCGGTCTGACCCAGGGACCACGAGAAGGAAGAAGAGAACCGACTCCCCAAATCTGTCTTCCAATCTCCACATATGTGTCATCGTGTGTGGACATATGCAGTACATGTAAAATAAATAACTGTTCAGAAAGAAAGGCTGATTGCGTCTTGGGGCTGGAGAGATGATTCAATGCTCGAAGGCACGTGCTGCTCTTGCAGAGGACCAGGGTTCAGATCCCAGCACCAGCACAGCATGTCACACCCATAGGTAACTCCAACTCCAGGAGATCTGATTGATGACTGACTTCCTCTGGCCACTGAGGACAGGAGGCACACATGTGTTGTACATATCTGCATTCAGGCAGACACTCAGACACATAAAGTAAATCTAAAAACAAAACCCAAAATAAGTTTAAAAAAACAAAAACCCCTTAGGTGAAAGAGAGCCTGTGCTTCACATCTACAGTCACAACAGCGGGGAAGTCACATCACCCTGAGGTGAAGGCACAAAGACCAGAAGTTTACGGTCAACCTAGCTACTCAGAAAGTTCCAGGCCAGCCTGGGGTACTAGAGACCTATTCTCAAACAAAATAAAACAAGACAAGACAAATACTCAGTGAGCCAGATGTGGCCATGCCTATACAGTGAGCCAGATGTGGCCATGCGTAGTACACTGTGATCTTGCAATCCCAGCCACTCAGAGGCGGTATGGCCTTGAGTTGGAGGCCAGACAGAGCTATACAGCAAGTCTGAGGCTACAAACACAGCAAGATCCAGTCTCAAAACAAAGACCCCACAGGGAGCCAAACAATGCGACTGACTGCCCAGACCAAGGACGCTAAGAATCAGATTTCTTCCCTCCAGGCCTCTCCCCACTAGCAGCCCCACCACCAACGAAGCTGAAAAGGCAGGCCCCCACCCTAGTCCTCCAAGGCCTGCTGACCTAGGCACTGGGCACTGTGGGAGGAGTCAGACCTCTCCCAGACCTGCCTGTGAGCTTTATACCCTTAAGCTAGAGCTCTGAAAACTAGCAACTGCCTTGTCTCTAGTTCCTATCAAAGCCCACTGCCCACCAAGAATGTATGGACTAGCTTTCTGGAGACCTGAAGTTGCCTATAGATAGCTGGGATCCAGAGAAGGTAGACAGGAAATGTGAACAGAAGGTTCTTGTGTCTCAGTCAAGAAAGTTATGGAGGGGTCAAAGTCTTGTGTCTCTCTCTTCCTCTGTGGTTCCTGTGACAAGCGTCCCCAGCAACCCCTGAGAAGCCTAGAACTGATTATGCTCCCCTGCATGGGACTGTCACTTAAACCACAACAAAAGCATTTTCAAAGAGCTGGCAAGATGGCTCTGTTGATAGAATACTGGCCCTGTAATAAGCAGAAGCCCTGAATTCAAATCCCTAACACCCACGTAAAAAGCTGGGTGTGACAGCCAGTGAGTGCCTGCAACCTCAGCACTAGGGATAACATCCGGCTCCATACACGGAGGCTTCTCCAGCAGTGATGTCCCCTGTGCTTCACAGAAGCGGCTGGAGAGAGCGGAGTGCTGTGGAAGGCACTGTCATCTGAGAGTGTGTGCTGGACAAGAGGCTTCCAAGGAAGAGGCAGGGAGATACTGAAAGCTCCCAGCTTCTGTGGTTCTAGCCTCTCCTCGTGTGGGTACCAGTACACACATTCCCACACACTCACACACCTACCTACCTCCCTCCCCCCTCCACACTCGAACACGCACAGCACAGACCGTGCCTTCACATGCAAACATGAACATTAAAGTTCCATGCCCAGAACCCATGTGAAAATCCAGGTCAGGGGAAATGAAGACAAGAAGACCTGGGATTCCACTGCTGGGCAGTTTTATCGTCCCAAGTCATTGAGTAACCCTGTCTCAGAAACACACACTGAACAGCTTATGAGTAATGTCTCCCAAGACTACGCTCCAGCCTCTGTGTGCATACACACCTCTTCCTTGGAAGTCTCTAGACCAGAACACATTCTCGGATGACATGGCCCTCAACAACACTTCATTTCCCCCTCCCCACCGCCCCCTGCCCCTGCCACTTTCCTGTAGCACAGGGGACATCTCTACATCTCTCCTGGAGGATCCAAAGCTTAACCCAGGTGGACAACAATGTGGTCTCAGTCACTGAAGCCTGTGACCACAGAAGCCATGGCTTCTGGAGTCTATGTCCAGGAGTAAACATAAACACAATGCCAAACTATCCTCAGACTGGAGAAGTCTCACAAAGTAAACTCCAGGGTTTAAAAGGCCCAGATCCCATGTAAGAAGTGAACAGGCATCTCATACCCAGGCTGTACATCTTGAGCAGGCTGGTACAGTTTTGTAGATCTGCTCTAACAAAACAGAAATGTTAACTGGGCATGGCGGTGCATGCTCTGAAGGTAGAGGCATGAGGAACTCAAGGTTACCCTCAGTTACCCAGGCCAGCCTGGGCTACATGAGACATCGTCAAAAAGAGAGTGTGAGGAGGAGAAAGCTGGAAGCTGGTATGGTTCTCATACATAATCCCAGCACTCGGGAGGCTGTGGCTGGATTACATGGCAAGGCCTGCCTGGGATATATAGAGTTCCAGACCAACTGCGACTGAGAGACCCTATCTAGAAGAGAGTAAGGGGCCCAAGATGTAGCTCAGTTCCCGGCATGCGTGAAGCCCTGGGTTCCTTTCCCAGCACTGCATAAACCAGACAAGATGGCACAGGCCTGTAAATCCCAGCACTCAGGAGGTAGAGACAGGACAATCAGGTCAAGGTCACTGGGCCATCAAGATGGCAGAGGTGCTTGCTGCCAAGCCTGACGTTCAGTTTCCACATCTCACGTTCTAGACAGAGAGAATGGACTCCCCAAAAGTTGACCTCTGACTTCCACATGAGCACCAAGCATGTGCACGCATATACAGAGTAATATTATTAACTTTAAATATTAAAAAATCTATGAAATTTAAAATGCATATGCATAGTAAAAGAATAAATAAATCAACATAAAGTTTTTTTTAAAGTTCAAGGTCGTCTGTGGCTATACAGTTTGAGGTCAGCATGGGCTACACATAGCCCCATCTCAAAATACATAAATAAATAAGAGGAAAGAGAAATGGAAAAATACAAGTACATAACTACTAGGTCCCCTCCTAGGGTCTTGGGGTCACAGGGTGCAAATTGGAACCTCAGAAGTGGCTCCTCCCTCCTGTCCAGAGAGATTCTAAGACAGAGTTGAGAAAACTGTGAAGAGCAGGAGATGACAGAACGGAGTGGATATGACTCATTCCTCTCCAGCATCCCTTCTCAACCGCCCAGAGTCCCAGCAAATGCCCAGCTTTCGCTTCTTTAGGTTTTCCAGGAAGTTTTTTTTTTATGACCATTCTCCCCACGGCCACTAAAGAGTGGGTCCTGAGGGTGGCCACCTGCTTCTAGGCCACTTTCCTTCCTAATCACAGAATCAAGAGTGTAGCCTGTTTGTCCAAACAGAACAAAAATGTTTCTCAAAAGGCCACTTGGAATTCAGGGAAAGTCCTACAGAGGAGAGCACACCCTGGGTAACCAGATCTGTTTTTCTGGAAGTATGACCTGTCTTTTCCTTTTTCTGCCTCATTCTCGCCTCTGACACACAAACATTTGAGGACAGCTCAGGTCCCAGAAAGTCAAGAGTACACGCAGGGCTCTCACTTTGGCTGCCTCAGAAATGGTCTCCTTTCTCATTCTCTGTTTCTGCTTTAAAAAAAAAGAAGAAAAGAAAAAGGTAGAAAAGAAGGAAAGGAAAATAGAAAGAAAGGGGGAAAAGTAAGGTTAAGTCACAGAGACCAGGCAGGCAGTGAGGTCAACGACGGCTGACATGGGTGGAGGGACGTCTCTGTTCCAACAGGACAATGTGGAACACATTATCATTCCAACAGAAGAAAAACTGAGCAGTCAACTTTGCAGGCTGCGAATTAGCCTCCGCCCCTCATCCACAAATCCTATCTTTATGGCTCCAGCTGGAGGGAAGCTTTAAAGGCGAGCATAATTCAATCAGGTTTCATTTGGCCACTTAGCAAAAAGGGACTGACTTCTCCCAGTAGGATTACAGACAAGCTCCACTCTGGAATGCACAAGAGGTGGCCCGCAGCACCGAGACACCAGTAATCAAATTCTTTTCGGTAATTCAGATTAACCAAACACTCAACAGGCGACAGAGGCTGGGCCGGGCAGGTCTGCAGCCTGTCAGGCCCCCACCCCAGGGCTCCCCAGGGACAGAAGCCAGATCCCTTTGAGGGCCTCGGAGCTCCAGCTCAGCATCTGTCTCAGGCACGGCACTTGTCGGGGGACTGGCTGGAAATGATACAGAAATAGCTGGAGAAACAATGCCTCTCGCGGGCACACGGGTGGGGAGGAGACACGATGCGGGATGGGTGTAGGCGGGGGTGTCACCACCATCCTGGTGAGAGAGTGCGGGACTCCCGCCTTGAGCTCTTTCGAGATGTTCCAGGTTAGATTGCACCTCCAAGGCACCACCAGGTAAACTGAGGCCTGGAAAGGTCCCTCTGCCACAAGTGACGGAACCCGGATCGCCCCTGGAAGTCCACGGGACCACGCAACCCGCGCCCACCCGCCCTTCAGGTGCAGCTCCCCCGGGCCGCTCCAGGCCCCGTGCGCTCGCCGGTTTCCATGGCAACCGAGCAAGCCTGCCTCGATCGCGCCCGGACTCGCCGCGGGGACCGTGACCAGCGCGGCCCCGCCCCAGCGCGTGCCCCGCCACCCGTGTTTCAGCCCGCGGTCTCCGCGCCCTCCGCGGGTCCCCGCAGTGGTCCAGCGGCACCTCCTGGGCCATCCTCGGCCTCTGCTGACCTTCCTTCTCGCGCCCCGCACTCACCTCAGTGCAGCCCGTCAGCTGCGTCCCCCCGCGCGCGGCTCCCACGCCCGCCGTTAGCCGAGCTGGCTCCCGGCTCGAGGCGCCTCCTGCCGGCCGCGCAACGGACGGGGCGAGGCCTTCGAGGGGGCGGGGCCTCTGGGGGCGGAGTCTGTAAGGGCGGGGAGTCCGGAGAGACGAACAGAAACCTGACACCTCAGCGCCCAATGGGCAGAGACGGAGCCTCGAGTGGGCGGGGTCACATGTATTAGGGCGGGCCTGGCCGACCGAGAAAGATTAGCTGTGCGCTAGCGCCCCCTTCTGGTACCCAACGGTAAGGAGTCCCTAAGAGGTGTGGCCTCTGAGTGGGCGTGGCCTCGGCGAAGGGGAGGGGCTAGCTCCCCAAAGCCGATTCGTGGTATCTCAAGGGGCGGGGCCTCAGACAAGAAGGGCGAGGCCTATGCTCTGACCAGCTACCTTGGAGTTGTGTACTCTATGATCAAGTAGGCGGTATTTGGCCTCCACCCCAATTAGTGGACAAGGGTGAAAGAGTGGACAAAGATGGACAGGTACAAAACTGTGTCACTCGATATTTATGAATATGCATGAAACTGACTAGGGACAGGAAGGCCAGATTTCGTTTTATTGAATATATTTTTATTTATTCATTGACAATTGCGTATGTGTATATAGTGTATGTTATCAGTAGTTAACCCCAGTTCTTTAATTTTAATGTATTCTTTGTAGAATTTTATTTTATGTTTTAGTTAGGGTCTCATAGATCCCGGACTGACCTCAAACTTCATGTGACTAAGGCTGGCCTTGCACCCCTGATGCTATTACCTCCATTGTCCTTGTGTTGGGATTACAAGCTTGTACTGCCATGCCTAGTTTATGTAGTTCTGGGGATCGAACCCAGGGTCTCATGTGTGCAATACAGATGCTCTACCAACTGAATCACTTCAGTCCTAAGCAGCTGGAATTTTAAAAAAAACAAGTCAAATGATGGCAGACTAGCTTAAAAGCATGTAAAATGGGACCAAATCAGTTCTAGGTCTTTGACCCAAATGCCTTCCTAATAATGTGTTTTTGCTTCGATTTCTCTCTGGTGCGTTCATCAATCTCAAGCTGCAGACACTAACCCAAGAAGTGTATCTTTTTGTGGGCAGTTTGTAGAGAACTATACTGTAGAGAAGTAGTTCTCAACTTTCTTAATGCCACAACTCTTTAATACAGTTCCGCATTGGGTGGTTTAAATGAGTATGGCCCCCCATAGACTTCTGTGTTTGAATGCTTGACCCATAGGGAGTGGCACTATTAGGAAGTGTGGTCTTGTTGGAGGAAGCGTTTCACTGTGGGGGCGGGCTTTGAGGTCTCCAATGCCCAAACTATACCTAGTATGGTCAGCCTCCTGCTGCCTGCAGACAGAGATGCAGAGCTCTCAGTTCCTCTTTCAGCACTATGTCTGCCTGGATGCTGCCATGCTTCCCGCCGTGATGATAATGGACTGAACCTCTGAACTGTAAGCAGGCCCAGTTAAATGTTCCTTGTATAAGAGTGGCTTTGGTCATAGCATCTCTTCACGGCAATGAAACCCTAACTAAGACATTCATGTTGTGGTAATCCCCAACCATAGAATTATTTCACTGCTACTTTCTAGCTTTCCTACTGTTATGAATTGGAATGTAAAATATCTGATATACAGGACTCATGATATGCAACCCCAAAGGGGTTGTGACCCACAGATTGAGAACTGCTGCTGTAAAGTAACGACCCCATGTTTGAGACCAGGGTAAGGGGTCAGACATTGATGAACCACCTCTTCTGCCAGGCCCTGTGCTTAGGGGCTTTGCCCAGGCCAGCTCTGGATACATACACTAACTCTTTTTTTTTTTTTTTTTTTGTTTTTTTTTTGTTTTGAGACAGGGTTTCTCTGTATAGCTCTGGCTGTCCTGGAACTCACTCTGTAGACCAGGCTGACCTCGAACTCAGAAATCCACCTGCCTCTGCCTCCCAAGTGCTGGGATTAAAGGCGTGCGCCACCACTGCCCGGCACACTAACTCTTTTAAGATTCCTACTATTCAACTTTTTCCTGAGAATGTAGAGGCTCACAGAAGTCCCGTGACTGGAGGTCAGTCAAGGCTTGTCTGTATGATGAACTAGAACCCCCCACTTCCCCCCATAGACCTTTATAGGACAGCACCCCATTCACACCAACCTCCTCAGGCACCCCAGTCTGGGAGGCTGTAACCAAACAGTATACTAGAATATTTCCATACAATTTTCTACAAACAATACCAAGCCTGAAGAGGCAGCTATCAGAGCTAAAAGGAGGCCTGGGCTCAAGCCTGGAGACTCCTCTCATCCCACAGCCTAGCCCACCTCCAAACTCCCCACAACTGTCTGCGCAGAATTCCAAACTGCAGCATGGGAACCAGGTTGGACTGTTTTTGTAAATAAAGTTTTATTGGGGCACAGCTACGATTATTTGTTTACCTACTAAATGACTGACAATTTGTGGCCTATACTGGATTGAATGTAAAACACCCGCCTCAGGCTTACGTTTCAAGGGCGAGGCCAGCATCTGGCAGTGTTATTTCAGAAGGCTATAATGACGTTATGGCGTGGTGAGCCCAGCAAGAAGAAGTGGGTCACAGGGGGCATGTTTTTGAGAGATTATCATCCATAAAGACCTTCTGTCTGCTACTTTCTGTTCCCCATGAGGTGACTAACTCTCTGCCACTTCCACTCGTAACCACAATGATCTATCTGCATGTGACCAAGGACTGATGGTCTCTGAAACTATAAGCCGAGAAAGCATTCCTCTTTTAAGTTGTTTCTGTCCAGTATTTTGTCACAGCAGTGCAAAAGCAACAAAGACAGTTGCAAATGCCTAAAAATCACCCCCTTAAAGGCCCCAACTCCAGTAACATTCTGGGGTACTGGGACTTCAGCATCTGAATTTTAGGGGAACACACAACTCATCCCAGGAAACCATCTTTCATCACCTAGATAATGTCTGTTTATCCTGAAAGACTAGAATCCAGTGTTACGTACATGGTTCTAACCTCCAAGATGGCTGCCAATGAGCCACGCCTCCAGACTTTCACACTGTTTCATAGACTCAGCTGTCGAACCAGAATGGCTCGTGTAACCAACACAATATTGTCTCAGTGATATTATGGCTCTGGAGTGACACAATGAGAGATTCTCTTGCTCCTGCCCTTGCCTTCCCTTAGATCATTTGCCCTGAGGTGAGCTGGCCACCATGTTGGAAAGCCATGCAGCTCTGAGGGAAAAAGAGAGGCACTTACCAACAGCAAACACCCATGCATACATGTCTGTGATCTGTGCTGGGTTGGATTCTCCCCCCTCCCCCCCACAGAGTCATAGTCCTCGCCTTGACTGACTTACTTTCTGGTTGAAATTTAACAGCCAATCCCACTGGGGATGGACCCCACCAAAAGGGATTATGTATGGTGCCAACCCATGTCTGCTTCTCCCTTGGGGTAGCCAGGCTGGACTGGAGGGAGGGAAAATTAGCCTGAACAGATGGGAGCACTGCAAGGAGCCCTGCAGGGAGCACCATAGGATCTCTCTGTAGGTGATGAGTGCAGGGGCACTGAACACACCTGAGAATACCTTCAGAGAACGAATTCTTTCATTGGGAGGGAGAAAGGGGTATTTATGCCCCTAGGAGCCAAGTTTATGGTTCCAGGTTGAGAGTGTGGAGGTAGCCAACTCCTGCCCTACCCATGTTTGGGTATCTGTAACCCTAGGCTATTACAGTCCCACGGTATGGAAGGCTTGGTCCTGAAGGCAAGCCATAGTGAGCTCTGGCACTTTGGGAAATTGACTAGATCCTGAGGGTGCTGACTTAGTCGATGAATTGTTTGTCCGTTTGTTTGTTTTACATGTGAGCACATACATGCAAACATTAGCACACGTGTGCCACAGTGCGTCTGTAGAGGTAGTAGGATGATTTCAGGCTTCAGGCCTCACAGGCCATCTTATTTGAGACAAGATCCTTCTGCTGTTTTCCAGTGAGGACTCCAGGCTAGCTGGCCTGGGGACCCCCCCAGCCTGGCTGGCCTGGGGACCCTCCCAGCCTGGCTTCCCATCTCCCCACTGGAGGGCATGTTGGGATTACAGACTACTGTCCTTCGCATCTGGCTTTTACACCACTCCTGGGATTCCAACTCAAGGCCTCTTGTTTATGGAGTAAGTGCTTTTACCCTCAGAACCATCTGCCCACCCATGGATTAACCCCTCTGTGGAGTCATCATAGGATGGCTGAGAGGAAGGAGCATCCCAGGACACACCAGGACCAAGTTCTCAGCACAAAGGAGGTTTACTTGCCTCAGAGGGACAAAGGGCAGGGAACAACAGATAAAGACAGGAGACAGAGGACAAGGAGGAAGGGGAAAAGGAAGAAGGGAGGGGGGCAGGGATATTGCCCTGAAGGGACAAAGGACTGTCTCTGGATGTCGAGGAAACAGACATGGCCCATGGGCAAATGACAGCTTGTAAGGAAAAGAGGGAAACCCCAGGGTAAGGGAGAGTCTGTTCATTGTGATTGGGAATTTTAATTGCTGGACTTGAGTGTGTTAGTAGCCAGACCTTGGCAGTGAGCATCAAGAGGAGGAAGCTGCTGAGTAAGAGCATGCACCTTGGTGGCTAGCTTTAGGATTCTAATGGCTTAGGAAGATTGAGGGAGTGGGGAGAAAGGTAAAAACCTGTCTGTGACATGTTTGCCATGCCCAGGCCCGTGTTTGGTGTTGGCTCAGGCTTGCTAAAGTCCTTCAAGAGGTACCATAAAGTGCAAGGTGGGAGTGTAGTTGGAGGAAGGAGGTCGTCACTGGGGACCTGGGACACTGTTAGTGAGGGAACTTGCTTGGTAAAAAGCAAAGCAGGTCAGGCAGCAAAGCCTTTAATCTCAGCACTCAGGAGGCAGAAGGCAGCTTTGTCTACCTAGAAAGCTCTAGGCCACGTAGTCAGGCCCTGAAGTAGGGATTCCAGCTGGGTCACATAGTAAGACTCTGACTCAAAAAAATAAAGATTTAGAGCCTTCCCTTCCTCTTTCTGCCATCTTGGCGCCTGTGGAAGCCTGCAGGGAGCAGAACTTCTAAAAGACAAAGGCT